GTAATAAAAAGTTGCGCTTAAATAGTCTGATATCTCTGTTATTAGTTATCAAACTATTTGTTGCAACAGATAAGTATATTTTAAGAGTGAATTTTAGGAACAAATCAATACAATTTGAACTTACCACTGTGTCTAAAGGTAGAGGTCTCCACTTGGACTTGGGTTTGGTCTTCACTTCACATACCTTTGCCAATGGATTCTCAATACAAATGTCATGAAACAATTGACATGCGCTTTGATCAAACAATCTCACTCTTTCCCATGCGAAATCTACACTTAAGTTGTTCAATGTGTGGTTTACTAAAACAAAAGAAAACACAAATTAACTAAATGTTATTTAAATTTTATTCTGCTAGCAACCTCACTCACATGCCACATCCAGTAGTTGAAAACTTGAAAATTATCCTGTAGAAACATACTATAGGTCTGAATAGTAGCCTATGCATTATTTCAGACTACAATTATCTTCTATGCCAAATGTTATGACTGAGATTGAGTAACAAACATCCAACACATTTTTATTATTAGTAAAAGTAACAATAAATTCTGTGAAACATTATGTGAGTAAATGCCATATGATTAAAAAATAAATTAGAATCAGAAGACAAAAAAAAATAAGGTACAAGTACAATGACAAAACAAAAGTCTAGGAATCATAAAAAACTCACCTCTCAACTTCCAAAAAGGTTCTGATACGAAATTTTCGACAGCCCTATACCTCTCCACCACAAAGCCTAGTGTTGGGAATTGACAGGAACCATAGCTAACTAGACTTTCAGCTAACTTTCTAGGGAAAACTTTTTGCAGCCGCAATGTCTGGAACCTTGTGAATGCTGCACCTGTAATGAACATTAACAATTTTTGATTCAACCTTTCTTTCAACGCCATAACCAAATTACAGTAATGATATTAATATTTCACAAAATAGTGAATAATAATAGTTTTGACTAGTTATTCTAATTAACCAGGGATTGTCTAAGGTCCTCTGAGGTGCAATTTTACGTAATTTACTAGGTTTATTTAATTTTCATGTGTAATGTCTAATCTTATCTATATTTTTATATAAAAATAAACTTTACCTATTCTTAAATCAAGTTCTTGTCTTACATCAACAGCATCACTAATGTTCTTATTAGGTTGTTCTAGATTTTGTAGAGCCCTCCAAACAGACACTCCAGTTATCTCTGAGAATTTGGCCCGGAATATTCTAAGATTACTCTTTACTGCTGTGCATACTTCTATTATTTCGAAACCGATGTTCTCTCCTTCTCTGTCACAATCTGTCCAGATGATTAGTCCTGTGCAACTTCTCACTTCTCTTTCTAAAGTTTTCTGCAAATATATAAATGCAAAGTGTGTACAGTTAATATTAAATGTGTTTATCTAATAATTTTAATAAAACTTTTTGAACAGGATTCTTGTAGTAGGCTCTAAAATACCTAACAATGTCTTAGAATAAAACTTATAAGATGTTCATTTGTAATGTATCTAATTAATGATGCAATAGGCTTACCTTAATCTTTTCATAATTCTCAGGGCAGTATTTGAAGACAGGTGCGTCAAACAAAGCTAGGGGGTTGCAAGACTGCCAATGTTTATATGCACCAACAAACTCAAGTCCTAGTAGGTGTCCAGATACTGATGTCATCACCATTTGACATTTTTGACCCATTACTTCAGCTTCAAATTCATAAATTTTATTGTATTGAGATAGTCCCTCGCGCTAAAAACATCATGATCATTATTTTACACTTTGAATAATTGGAATAACAACATAAGACCACAGTCAAGTTATAATCCTAATTTTGACTTGGAAAGAACTTACTCTCCTAGAAGTTCCTCGTGATAAATGTTGAGCTATATTCTTAGCTGCATCATTCTTCTCAGCTACATTTAAAAACTTCATTGTTTCAATGGTACACTGACTCAATGTTTTAATAAAATTAATGTAAATATGCTTTAGGTTATGTTTTGGTCGAAGTAAATAAATCATATTTTAACAGATTTACATCCTTCTGCTATCTAATTAACATCTTCCACTCATTATCATTGATAATTATACCAATCTTTTATAGTTATTCCAAATTATAACGCACTTCGTAATCTACAATCCGTAAAACGTAAATAAACAATAACTCCCGCCCAAAATTTTGCAATGGAAAATGGAAATTGACGTCTGGAACGTTCAACGTATGTCGAGAATGTTGCCAGCGTTGCACAATTTAAAGCTGCCCAGTCATTATCCTGCACATGCATTCCTTTCGCCAATGATCGGGGATCGGGTGGTCAGTAGCCAGTTGTTCACTAAAATAACTAAATAGTCTATGGCTATTTTTTGCTCATTTTGTTAATATCTATGTGGTTACTCTACCAGCTGTGAGACGAATGACATAAGTGTCACTGTCATTTCTATTTTCTTGTTTTTCAGTAGAATGTTCATGACATGATTGTTATAAATTCATTACTTACACCACAGCTTACACAATTAACGTAAAATGACAAGTTTATAAATAGTTTATCTCTCTTTGTGGTTGAAAACCTATATTATAAATTAGGGACAATGGTGCTGTCGCGCTCATTTGCGCCGAAGCCCTTAACCTATACGAAGATGTGTTTTCTCGTAAACTGCCTCAAACGATTTAAGAGTTCACAACAATGGTTGAGTCGTCAAAAATCTGATCCTTACGTAGAAAAGGCAAAAATCTATAATTACAGGTGATTTTTATTTACAATAATAATATCATTGTTACTTTCGCTTCCAAATAATAACGAATATTCTCTTGGTTTATAGATGTCGCAGTGCTTTCAAACTATTAGAAATGAACGACAAAACAAACATACTGACTCCAGGCCTGACAGTTATTGACCTTGGTGCGTCGCCAGGGTCATGGACACAAGTTGCAGTTCAGAAAACGAACTCTGATGGTGCTGACCCAACCCAACCTAAGGGGCGAGTTCTTGCTATTGACAAGCTTCAGATATTTCCGATAGAGGTATTTATTTTCGACTTAACTCGTCGAGTACCGTCATTATAGACACAATTATAGAACAATGGGTTGCGGTCACCGGTGACCGCTTGGTGTTTGACAGTTTAACCCGTTGAAATCCACCCCCTAAATTTGGTCATACAAAAGTAGTCTCTAAACATTACAAATAAGGTCTATAATGTAATGTAATATTAGTGGAAAGCGGTCACCGGTGACCGCTTGGTGATTTATGGGTTAAGTCATTATTTTACTTGCCAAGAATGAATCTGCATTTTTGGAGCTACAATAACATTATCAAGATATCTTCTAAATATAACTTGTTCCCAACTTTTGTTTTAATGAAATATGTATTTTTTTCAACAGGGAGCATCCATTATGAGCAACATGGACTTTTCCACCATAGATGCTCATGATAGAGTAATAGCAGCACTAGATGGCACAAAAGTGGATGTGGTTCTGTCTGACATGGCCCCTAGTGCCACAGGAGTGAAGGAACTGGACAAAGACAGGATAATAGGCCTTTGTTACATGGCTATAAGATTTGCAGCTCTAGTCAGTAAAGTGGATGGTAACCTGCTATTCAAAGTTTGGGATGGAAAGGAAGTCCCTATATTGGAGATGGATTTACAAAGATTCTATAAACACATTAAGATTATGAAGCCAATGGCTAGTCGATCTGAGTCTTCAGAAAAGTTCATATTGGCTCGAGGATTCAGAGGCATACAAAGGCCATTGAGGAATGGAAGATGGGGAGAATAACTGAAGAACATGGTCAGTACATAAACTGAGCTACTGCATAATACAATGAATGTTTTGATGTGAGCTGTAGTAACAGAATGACTGCATACAAAGTGAAGAAGATACTGAAATGTTTTAAGAAGTATTTGTCTCAACAAAGTATTGTTGTTTGTTAGTTGTAAACACACCGTAATAATGTAGTGTACATGTATAAAAACTAAGTCTTCCAAGTTATGTTTAAGTGTAAATGTTATCAACTCATAGTACAGTAATTAGCATCATGTAAATAAATATTTGTTTTATATTCGAGACTTAATGAGGCAATAATTATAATCTATGATATTGTCTGTTAGTTATATGGTTACCATGATTAGAAAAGAAACAATCATTTAAAAGATTAATGTTTTGTTTATTTTTCATATAATAGCACATTTCCTGAAGCATTTTAATAGAGTAATGCTTAAAATATCTATCATTCATTAAAATTCACATGGTTTTTAAAACAAAGTCGTATTAATTTAATGTTTACAGTAGATTTAAATCAACATTTACAGTTATAATCTCTGATTACTTTCTTAACAATTATAATTTGTCACTTTTATAAAATAATATCACATCAAGTATTTTTTGATAAAGAGTAACAACATCTAATCATTTGCTACTTATTTCAAAAATTTCGGACGTTAACTGGCCTTAAGCAATCACAAATTTAGAAATCTATTTCTTTTATAGATTACAATGCATGACCTGTTTGTTTATAAATACAAATGCAACACCATCAAGCTATTTTTTAGTCACAACACACCACTTGGTTTGTGCAAAAATCTGTAACTTCTCTGTAAATAACAAATCACAATCAAAATCAACATTTTAAGGAGCTTCTTTGTGTTTAAAACTGTAACACGTTACAGTCACAAAGCAGTAAAGTAACAGTAAAGTTTAAAGTTAACTTTAAAACATTAATAAGTACAAATTATCTTTAAAAGAAAACTATAAACCACAGAATCGACAAACGGTTTGTGGTTGGGTACAATTCGTAATTGACAATCACATTATTTTTTCCGTGAAGGTATAGGCAAAGGTATCGGACTTACTGTCCTCTATTTGTGATTCATGTCTCATAGGTACATTAAATAAGTTAGTATCTTTAATTTTAACTTTCTAGCAGTTTTACATAAACTAGCTGACCCGGCAAACTTCGTACCGCCTAAAAGTTTTTTTTCACCTTTTAAACTTTCCCTAGACTTCCACGAACCTATCAAGACCAAAATTAGCCAAATTAGTTCAGCCGTTCTCGAGTTTTAGCGAGACTAACGAACAGAAATTCATTTTTATTTATATAGATGTAAACATTTTGAAGTAAGTCTAAGAACTATGTTCTAGCACGACTGCACGACCTAGTAATCGATGCGGAAGTCTCCTCAAGTTTTAAAAGAAAACAGAGGCAGGTAATCTTGGAGAATTTGGTGCACATGTGTAAGGGGACACTAACACAACGAATGCATAACTTCCTGCTTATTGAAGTCTTTAAAGCATTACAAACTACTATAGTAATTAACAACTATTATCGAGTTAACAGTTTACGTGACGTTATGATCTAACTTTGCAAATAGCAGGGTGCGTGACTATTAGCTAAGTATAAAGTATGTAGCAGCCATATGGATTTATTAGGTAAATAGCGGAGACTTCTAGACGAAATGTGTTCGAGTTCCACTATTTAGTTTGTTGAGTTGTGCGGCAGATAACAAGCTGGAGTGCGCAGCATGGTCCAGAAGGAGTAGGCGCTCGCCTCTCTCGTCGCTGGCAGCTCGAACGTTGCGAGCACATCTTCCACTACCAGTCTCTAAGGCAAAACTGCTTACAGCACATATAGCGTAGATAAAAGTTAACACGAATAGTGCGCAGCCGAAATCTGAAAAAATAAAACAAAATAATTTACTAATAAACTAATTACACTGATAGATATTTTTTATTTTCCTTCACAGTATTAAAATCTGGTCTTTTCAATCATCAAAAATTAAAGTCTGGCTATTTTGTTGCGTCTGACTTCCCACCCAGGCTATTATATTATAATTTTTAATCAAATAATAGTATCTAATCCTACTTATGGTCACAAATACAAGCCTCGTTGCTCTTTCAGCCTACTATAATTATTGTTTATGATTTAGTTAGTGACTACTCACAGGCTATAGGCAAATTATTTGAAAACAAGATGGAGCAAGTCCGATATCATAGTCGAGATTATTTTTTATTTAATGTCTCAATGACTTTTCTTTAATAACTTTTTGTCTAAATAGATAGGAGGAAGGGAGATAGTCGAGCGGTAACAGTCGATTCCATTGACAGTTACACATGTCTATTTCTCTTCTATTCTTACAGTTTGATAAAGATAAATTGATTATTGTGTAGATTTTTATGACTGCAATATACTTAGAACGACGTAATTAACTACAAAGATTGCAAAGATGGACCAAGCAAAGGTGGGTAGTGCAGGCCATACTGGCCACATATGGCTTTGTAATATAACATAACTTAACATCACGCCTTTTATCCCCGAAGGGGTATGCAGAGGTGCACATTATGCCACTGTATGTACAATGTAATATCCACATTTCATTATTTATGTTACGAGTCCCATGTAATAGGGGGTGAGCCTATTGCCATATACCGGGCACAATTCCAGACTCGGTCCTACTAGTGAGAATTTTTTAAAAACCCAGTATTACTTTGCCCGATCCGGGTATCGAACCCGAGACCCCTTGCCCGGCAGTTGCACTGGCGACCATTCGGCCAAAGAGGCAGTTTTGTAATATAATAGGTAACATAGCCACGGATTACACTTACGATAGAGATTGTGACCTCCAAATAGGTTAACAACACACGGGTAGCCGTCTCCAACAATGATGGCCACAATAAGCAGGACTACCCCGATGCAAGCCGCCATGATCCAAGGCAGTACATACTCGCGCTTGTACTTGACTGCGCCATGAAGCAACGAGATACAACACATCAGGTAAATTGATGTCAGCATCGTGCTTGTATACAGAAATATCACGGTCACTGAAATGTTTAACAATATTGTTAATGGATGGCGGTTGTTAACCCCTGCAAGTCCATTAGAACTGGTGGGTAGATAAGTCTTATTGAATACTTCCTTTTACTCCGTTTCTCACGTTTTATAATGGAAAGTTACTATTAGTTCTACAAGTTGGGCAGATACAACTTAAATGTATTAAATTGTTATTGGGTAAAATATCAAATGAAATAACCTGATGCCAAATGTCGTGCTTTTGCAAATCTACGCTGGTTGTTTGTGCTTATCACTTCTCCATTATGGTAGCTGAAATGATCCCCGTAAGCCATTTCATATAGTCCGCGTCTGTCGGCATCGTCTTCCATGTCGTTGTGCAACATTGACAGCATTTCCCCGACATGGGATATACCAACTAGCAATATTATTAATATGAAAGATGATAATGCCTGCGAAAAACAAATTATTACTTCCACAGTCTTCAAGTTACGTTAAGTTAATAGCCACTACAAAGAAATATGATCGTCATACTCACGATTTGATGGACGGCAATTAGAATTGTGCCCTGTCGTAAATTGAAAACGTACAAAAAATTGTTTAGGCGAATCATCATTTTGTGTGAAAGATTACATTGCTTAGTTCTATCAAACATTTGTATTATTTTGCCACTAAACCATTGCCAGTAAGAATTACAAACATTGTTTGGACATAGCCCAAGTCAGAAACTACATAACGTTTGGCGCGAGGCGCGCATGTTGGATTCTATTGATTTATATTTTGTGCCTTGTGCGTAATGCGCATGTATTTGTCGTAGGTTGTACAAACACGAGAAACAGGATAAAGAAAATGCATTTTTTTATAAATTAGTTTTATTTCAAGACTTACGTAATGAATAATAATAATAGCAATAATAAAATTATGACTGTAATCAACCTAAACCAAACTTTTAGTCGGTATTAGTTTATTTGGATTGTTATATTATCCACTATAGCTATCACAAGTAGACAAATCATAAAGTAACTCATTATAGAAACAAATATGTATATTTACAAAAGAATAATCACGTCACTTCATTTCTTAAATGTAAAAAAATATTTTTGATAGCTAAGATTACAATTTGATTTTAATGAATTAAAACATGCTTCTATAAAAAAATGTCGAAATCTTGATTTCCATTACAATACTGATGCAATGTGGCGTTTTGGTAATTCGTCAAAATAAAACTTTTGAAGTAAACAGTAGTTCAACAAATTGATGTTGAATATTCCGCAAGGATTGAATTATTTCTAAGGACGGATTGGACTAAACAAGTACTGATTGAAACTGTTTTCGTTGTTGACGTGTAGGGGACGTGACGGAAACGAAATTAAATGCAAAGTAAGCTAACTATAAACATATACAACCATCTACTATTGATATATCGGTATCATAATTGAAATGTAGCAATTATGTTGACTAATATCCTAAATAATAAGTTACAGTAAATAATATAATATTTATATCTGAAAATAGCCAATATATTTACGATATAATTTAGAATGAACATTTGGTATGCAGTGAACTCTCGTAGTTGATACAAATATAGCCAAATATTTACACGTTATGAGACCTTAAGAAGTATAATACCTTACAAATAATGGACAATAAGATACTTGTACAATTCGAAAGTTATATTATCCAAGACTGATTTTAAATTACATAAATTGAAATAGAAAAAACTGTACTTATGTAACATACTTCAAGAAATTGTAACGATGTCACTTTTACTTGGATATAATAGCATGTCTTTAAAATTACGTGACCACCCACGACCTTACAAAGAGGTTAGTGTTGACACATTCACAGACATTTGTGTATGAAGGTGCCGGTGTGTTGATGGCACTCATGTTGTATACTTCTTATTTAATTATATCACCACAGTATAACAATAGTCATATTATATCACTAGGCACTAATAATGTTAGTCGATATAAAGTTAATGTAGGTATTACACAATGGACAAACATAGGGCTAGGATGCCACGTCAAAATATTCACATATTACAATTAAATAACGCAATATTCACATTGTATTCTGTTAAGTAACAATATCTTAGCCTAGTTCTCTAAAATTAGTCACAAATCCGTTGTCAGTTACAGCCTGTATTTTGTGTTAGGATTACTCAGTGATTGGACAATATATTGTTCGAAGTTTTAATTATAATGTAGTTAAACTTCGTGACAATTTTTAGGACAACTCTATGTTCTATCATCTCTATTTATATTCTTAATGATTACCGTTGGCAGTCAAAACAGATTATCGTAAATGTGGCGTCGATTCCTAACATCTTCGTGTCTCTTTTAACATGAGATTCGTAAGTAAATTATTGGCAGGATCATCACTTGCGACTGTAAGTATTTATCTAGAAAACACTAGGTGGATAGAGTAATCTTTACATTACAAGAAAGATTAGCGATTAGGGACTACTATAAAAATACTGAGTGGGAAATGTTATGATTTAGTAGTGTAACAAAATGATTTGAATGGTTGCCAATATCGATGAAGAGTTAGCCACAATTATAAAGTCATATGTGATAGGCGTCGCAGTTCCGGCGATCAGTCGGGAGTCTCAGGCGATGTTGCAGGAGTTACGGCCGGTACAGTTGAGTCGCGTGTGATGCGAGTGTTTATGTGCTCGCGCTCGATGCCGACTGGGCGCGGCGGAGATCGCGTACGACTTAAGGTGGGACTTCAGCGCCGTCGGCAAAGGGAGCCTCTCCAACCCGTACACCGATGTACGTGCTACTATTGCACGGCAACATAGCTCTTGGAGGCTGAGTACTACAACAAAAACGAACAGATTTTAGTAAAGTAATAATTATGACGATTAACGAAATCGTTGTCTTTGTGAGAGGCCTTCCATTTTAAACAAAATACCCATGGAAATTACTAAATAAATACCTTTATTGCTTCTCCATAGTCTCTCCATGCCATTTCGATGTAGCGCCATCCGCGACAGTTCACAGAAACTCTCTCTGATGTTGAAGTCACACAAGGGGCTCACTTCAAAAAACGCCATGTGGTTCTTGGCGGCATATAGTTCCGCGTCCCGTTCCTGTACTTGTCGTTTGAAAGCGAGGTGTAAACGATTACCCACGAGAACCTTCGGAACTCCTGGTGCATGCTAGAATGAGAAACAGACAAATTTATAATCAAACAATTAAATCTGGTCTTATTTGCTATTCCATAGTGTTCTCTTGTTCAACTTATGAAATTGTTCCATTTTCGAATGTCAGCTCGACTATTTTCAACCACCCTGGGACATGCACCTCACTCCACTATTTGGGTTGAGTGACCGTGAAAAGATATGACAATTTATCTTTGAATATAAAAATATGTAATAAAATAAATTTACATACCTTTTCGACTTCTTCAAGCCACCTGTCAATGCTGTCAAAAGACCACTTGTTGGTGATGTCATAAACAAGAAGAATGCCTTGCGCCCCCCGGGAGTAAGATCGTATTATGGTACAGAATCGCCCCTGTCCTGAAGTATCCCATAGCTGAAGTTTCACTCTCTTTCCATCCAACAGGATTGTTGTCGTTTTGTAGGCTGGAATATAATACTAATATTAATGACAGAAGCCAGTTTTATTGGAGTGAGTAAGTGCTTACATATACAGCACCCTGTATATTTAAAAAGTATAATTATCATAAACAGTCTTTACACAAGACCTTATTGCCAATTTGTTATTCAGTTGATTGTTATATGTAACATAGGAAGATAAACAGATGTCTAGAGAATGGTTTGTTTACAAAGTACAATTAGCAAAACATTACATAATAATAATAATTATGAGGACTAACTATTTTCTGTCAGGAATTTCCCTGTGTTACCGAAGTGAACAATTATGTTAGGTAGCAGTTGCATTTATGCAAAGATGCATTCATTCATACATCCCCATAAACTTTCGCATTTAGTATGTTGTGTGCAAAATTGCACATATAGAGTGATTTACATTCCTACCGATAATACCAAACTTGAATTAATGGCTTATTTTTATTTACAGTTAAAATGGGAAATGATTGTATTATTTTAAGAACCAACATGAATAAATTGATTTTAGTTATTAATATTATCAAATTATTACTCATTGCAGTGAGTCAATGCTTTTGTATATTAATTAAGTATATACAATAAGTATGTTATTCTGAAATTTTACAAATATACCTAGAAATGTTAACCTTATTAGCTTTTAACCACAATGGAGGCTAAATTAAAAAGTGCTCACAACACAACTAGCCGCAGAATATATGGAAAATATTACTTTATTAACTATCTATACCTTTAGCCCTAAGTCTATAGGCATTTTTTTTTAAGGGGGAAAATCATCGAATGACTGCTCCCGCCTGGGTGAGGCGGACGGGAGTGTCAGACTCTTGCTGACTAAAAACCACCCCGTTCCTTCTCCAGCACGTCGATCCGGAGCCCCGGTTACCCGTTAGGTTCTCCGCGACTCCGAATCGGCATCGGCCGTATTGGGCCCCATCTGTGGTGGTCTGATGGCTCTTTGAGGCTTTTTTACTATGAAGTTTTTTTAACCCGTTGAAATCCACCCCCTAAATTTGGTCATACAAAAGTAGTCTCTAAACATTAGAAATAAGGTCTATAATGTAATGTAATATTAGTGGAAAGCGGTCACCGGTGACCGCTTGGTAATTTATGGGTTAATATCATGGATGCGTAATAAGTCTATATAATAAGGCACATTACGCATCCGTGATAGTAAAAAAACTGATTAAAACATTTCCTCTCAAATTAAATCAGAGGATAATGGTTTTGAAGAGGTAAAAACATATGAATGAAAATTCTCTATGATGTTAGCTACAAAATACTGTAATAAAATACCTAGTACTACACAACCATTCATGTATTAAAATGTTGCTAAGGTTATACATTAGATTAGCATGAAGCAATAAACTTATGTGTGAATAATTGATAATAATTGTTTTTATAGCACTATCAAGGTGATATAAATAAATGGATAACCTCAGATCTCCAATAACTATTAATGGATATTGTTATTAATATCCAGCTTAATATTACACAGACACGAATTAAAGTTTATAGTGTTCAGATTGTTTGTTATTCAACCACACTAAACATGACGAAAGGAATTAGATCATATGTAGCACACACATTAGCTTAAACTTGGAATATCATATTAGTTACTTTCCATCTAAATTATAGTGCCTCTTGAAAGAACTAATTTCAAACAACTTAAGTAACAATTTATTAGTGTACTATAATATACACAATTCACATCTTATTAAGCATCAGTTATGGCACAGAGCCATAATAATGTTATTCAATAGGGGCATGTGACTACAACCAGATTAGCATCAAAACAATAGCATATTTGTATGTGAATAGGTAACAATTATTGTATTAACTTACCACTGCCACTACAAAATGGTGAGTCAGCCGAGCCATCCTCAAGATCCTGAAGGATTTCTTGTTTACCTACATCTGAGTCTCCAACCAATAGTACCTTTAGTAAGTAGTCATAGGATTTAGGAGCTGCAGGTGGCCGTCCTGGAATTTGTGAGAATTTCTTGTATAATCAAAAACTCTAAACAAACTGAATGGAGTTTAAACTTTCAAAGTGTCTAATCAACTGTTATTTCTTCATTGAGCTTAATAGTGAGACAAGTCCTCTATTAAAACTGTATTAGAATTGAATCAGTATGAGATATTTGCTGAGAAGTAAACAAATATACATAATTTTTGATATTACAGTTAGCACCATGTCCTATTTAAGCCAATTTGAAAGTAGAACTTTTTAGTGAGTTCAATGTTAGATTCTCTTCATTTGTGAAGGTTTCAGAGGCATATTAATCAATAGGAATATATGTGTACACATAAATATAAACATATTAATTTTTCAATGAGCCGTTCCTTATTTATTAGCAAAATCATTTTTTAACATTACTAAGCAAGTGACAGAAACACTTGTTCTATTTATGTGCAATGTTTACCTGTCCTTTGATGATGTGACCGAGGTAATGTAGTACTTCCATTTTGAGTGATTGGACTAGTCCCTTGTTGTGGGGTCGCTACCATTCCAGATGAAGGATACATAGTCATGGTGAGTTCGGAGTTACTCGCCTGATCTCCAGGTGGTCTAATCCATACACAAGTTTATACATAATACTGCTGAATTTAGCCCTTTTGGTAATCCATCAAGGTAAACTTTCACAAAACATTCATAGTCATTAGAATTACGAACAATAATCTGTTTATCAAAACAAGAAATAATCCACTTTTTCTTCAATCTGCCAAGTAAAATAACATACGTGCTTATAAGCAAGGTCGCCGCATAATAGTGCTTGCAACAAATTTTACTTATTTCTTTCGATCTATCCTCAGTCTAAACGGTTTTAACATTATATTTTCACCTAATAATTGCTTTCTCAATTACGTTTAATTACGATATCGACACAAAAACAACCCAATTTTCACGAAATATGAATGATTTTGAATGAATGACAACAGCCTTACTTCAGTCAAAGAACGAATGAATAAAAAAGTTTACCATAGACTAATTCGTTATTCATCAATTAGAGTTTGGTTCTTTGGTATTTGAGCAAAACCAATAAAATATTGAAACAAGGAACATACTTATATTTTTTTATAAACATGATTATGTAAGAAAATATTTTATTATATTTTATAACTTCACGTCTTCAACCCCCGAGGGTACTCCCTCGAGGGTAGCCGCAGCGGTGTACAGTGCACATTTTTAATGTAACAGCATATTGATCGTAACATTTTTTGGGAACTTAAGACTTCTCCCGCCTGGGTGAGGCGGGAGGGAGTGTCAGACTCTTACTGACTAAAAACCACCCGATTCCTACTCCTGCCCTTCGAGCAGGACCCGTTAAGTCTTCCACGGCTCCGTATCGGCATCAGCCCTATTGGGCCCCATCTGTGGTGGTCTGATGGCTCTTTGCGGCGCACGCGGAACGCGAGGCGCCGTACGCTCGGGTCTGGTTCTGATCAGGCGGCGAGCCACCCATACCTACTCGCCGTCCGCAGGCCCACGCTTACGGTGGCCGGAGATCATCCTGCGATCCCCAACGCCCGGAGTATCCTTCGCCACGGCTGGGTTGTGCGCCCCGCCTCCTCCTTAGCTAACATGACTGCTTCGCAAAAGGAGGCATCCTTGAGGGCACGGCGGTGCTCAGCCCACGCAGGGCATTCCCCTACTGTGTGTTCCACCGTGTCCTCAGGGGGTCGTTGCAGTGATGACTTCCGGGCGTTTCCTTCCACCCTATCAGACACAGGTACCTCCCGAAGCTCCTATGTCCGCATAGGATCTGCGTCAGGCGGTAGCGTAGGTGACGCCGCCGACGTCTCTCAAGCCACTCCATTTAGGATATACTAGAGTTAAGCCTAAAACGTACTTCTTTAGGTATAATAGACTAACTAGCAATCGAGCAAGGCGAAAAAAAATAATTGGTAAAAAAATTGTAAAAAGTTACTAAGGTATAGTTGCTCGACAGTCGCACTTGCGACCACCCGACCAAGGAGAAAGATGCATATAGCTTACTGTGCTTTTTTATTAGTCCGTGCTTCCTACTCCTACCCACATTCTTGCTTCTTCCTATATGTTCTACTCGTTTCATAAAACTTCTATCATTACGTTATGACTAAAGATATTAATTGGGATGTCCCCTATACATAATTATGTTTATTTTTAGTTATATGTTTTAGAAATGTTTTATGGGTATTCATTTATATAGTTTGAATACTGACTGCCTCTTTGGCCGAGTGGCCGGGTTCGATTCCCGGGTCGGGCAAAGTATTACTGGGTTTTTAAATATTCTCAGTAGTAGCACGGAGTCTGGAATTGTGCCCGGTATATGGCAATAGGCTCACCCCCTATTACATGGGACTCATAACACAAATAGTGAAAAGTGGGTGTTACATTGCACAGTGGTATAATGTACACCTCTGCCCACCCTTTCGGGGATAAAAGGCGTGATGTTATGTTATGAATACTAACTCCACGTAACAAAACTATAAAATTTAATTTAACTCTTTAAGGACTTACTCAAATCACTCAATTACCTCACGACTCAATGATATGAAATAATGAAACACAAACTATAATGTCAACATTTATTAAACTTAGTAGGAGAGAGATTCTTAAATACTATTTTATGGTAGACGATTTAAGGCACTTAATAAACACAACAATATGGATTATTGAGTGTAACAAAAGCAAAATTTAAATGCAAAAAATACAATAGGAAATGTAGTTCAATAAATTAGTATGTTTCGAAACCAGGCAAGGGGAACGACCTACTGTAGTTTTCAATTTCTTCCTTCAGACTCTTGATTTTAGCCTTGAAGTCTGCACTTTCTTCAATAGTTTTGTTGAAGTCAGCAACTTTAGGGCCGGATACTTTAGTGATTTCTTGGGCAAGTTTTAGTGCTTTATCAATGAAGTCTACTACTCTATCGATGTCGGCTTCTTTCATGCCCCTAGTGGTAAGGGCAGGGGTACCTAAAAATAGAAAAAAAAAATGGAGTTTACAAAATGTTTGTTATGGTCATTTCACAAAGGCAAAAATATTGTAGAAGATTTTAAAACATAATTTTATCAAAATATATGGTGTATCTTATTATCTTACCGAGCCTAATGCCGCTAGGATGGAGTGCGGATTTGTCGCCAGGTACCGTGTTCTTGTTACAAGCGATGCTGCACAGTTCCAGGATGCGCTCGGCGGGAGCTCCCGTAAGCCCAACGCTGCGCATGTCTACCAGGATCAAGTGGACTTCTGTGCCGCCGGTCGCGATAGCGTAACCACGAGCCATCAAACCTTTACATAGCTGCTGAGCGTTCTTCACGACCTGATAAAAAAAAACAAAACACTTTATTTAAAAAATAAAAACAAAATAATTGAACTTTTAAGAGATTCTTTAAAAATAGAATCGATGTTTTGATAAAAAATCTGAATATTTCTGTGTGAAGTTGATCGATATCGTAACACCATAAAGGTAAATAAAATTACTTCAAAAAGAAAAAACAGGAATCAAGAACCCACCTGCTTTTGGTATTCCACAAATTCGGTAGTTGTAGCTTGCTTCATTGCAGTGGCGATGGCAGCGATAGCATGGTTGTGTGGTCCTCCCTGTAGTCCAGGGAACACTGACTGGTTGATCTTGCTTTCGATGTCATACATGACTTTCTGGCCATTAGCCTTCACGGAGCGAACGCCCTTGCGGTAGAAAATAACTCCCGCGCGGGGACCACGCAGTGTCTTGTGAGTGGTTGTTGTCACAATATCACAGTATTCAAACGGACTAGGGATGACACCTGGAAAACGCGATTGATAATATTAAAGACAAAAATAATAAACAACATATAAAGCTTGTTGATTGAGGTAAGCGGCAATTCTCATTATTTTGAACTCTTACATATTCATTGCACTAGTCAGATCTACAAGGCCAAAGAACTTTTTTTTGAAATTATTAAGTTGCTTTTTACCTAACTCTCCAAAAGGCTGGCTGGCACTCTGGGGTTGCGAATGTCAATAGGCGACGTCGATTGCTTACCACCAGGGGCACCAGGTGAATCGTTATCAAAAACTAAATAGAATATGCTGTGAGATTACCTGCAGCTACAAGTCCAGAGATATGTGCCATGTCAGCCATCAAGTAGGCGCCATTTTCATCAGCAATCTGGCGGAACCGCTTGTAGTCCAAGCAGCGAGAGTAGCAACTAATACCGGCGATGATCAAACGAGGCTTAAACAGCCTCGCAGTTTCGGCCAGTTTGTCATAGTCTATAAAACCAGTCTTAGGGTCCACCTATAACAATAATTTAGTGTTTAGAACACGGCTCTTAAATAATAAATCCTTCTCTCCTCTCATTTCGATCATCGTGGCGTGTTTAACTACACTAGTCCGCTACATAGGAGTATAATTATTAACTATAGTGCCAAAGTGTGTGCACTCTCTGAACCCGATGAGACGGCAGACCGACACAACCGGAGAGAGGTCAGGCGCAGGACCGGGCTTTATGGGCTTTCCAAGGCACGGGGGTGAAACACCGCCGAACTTTAGGAATGGTATTGCCACTTTTTTGCCCGACGCGGATATCGAACCCGCGACACGTTGCACAGCAGCCAGTCACCCATTAACTGTGCTAACCGTCTAACACGGCTCTTATTATTATCTTATTATTATTAGGCTCTTATTAGGTAACGTACCTAAATGAAGACCTTTTACTCACGTAAATTCTATGAGCAAGCAATTGGATTAGGTACCTATAAACAATCTTATGTAATGAAGTAATTATAACGTTAATTTTATTCATATTCTTATCAACGTTTTCACGGTGCTGTAACAATCGCATGCTGAATTCTAAGAATATTACAAGCACGTTAAACGCCATGGCAGTCACTGGTGACCGACATTAGCGGAGGATTTGCCTTCAATAGTTTTTTATTGGCAGCCAATGCCTTAATATTCTCTATTGTCTTGAACAAGTCATTACAATTATCTGTCCTCATATTCCAGGGTCATATCATTACGTTATTTTTATCTGTCGAACGCAAACATCAATTGAACTGCGCTGAGTTCATGGGTCAAAGCAACTTAGTTATGATCGAGGGAAATGTTTGTACAGATTACGTCAAGCGGGTGTGACCGCCGACTCTTGCTTACATTTGCTTATCAGTGCAAATAACAAGAATCGTTTGATATATGTAGGTACCTATAGCATGATTTCATTGAATAGAAACTGAAAGTATAAATGATTGCGCAACTCGAGTCGACCCGCCGATATTGAATACTGAAGGCTGAGTTTTAATCATTCATTTCTTACTGCGCTATAATATTGTATTGCAGTAATATTTTATGGTTGCGATATTGGTATAGCAAACCAATTTACGAAATCGTGCTTACTATGAAAGCAGGGACACTGGTGAACAGTGGGTATTATGCATATCTTTGTCTATTCCTATATGGCATAAAAAGGGGTGAACATCACTCCTATGTATGTATGTACGTAAAAAGGGACAATTTTACCTTGTATGGCATACTTTCGAAGAAAATAGATGTAGCAGATATTTTCTTGGTTGCTGTAAAGAATCCATGAGTAAGATGGCCACCATCAGGTAAATCTAATCCCATGATTCTGCCATGAGGTTCCACTACACCGGTGTATACTGCAAAATTGGCTGGAGAACCTGGAAAAAATTTGTAAATTGTTAGTGTAAAGACAAACATGATAATTTAGTTACGAAAATATTTGATTCCTCTTTTAAACTGTCAAACACCAAGCGGTCACCGGTGACCGCAACCTATTGTTCTATAATTGTGTCTACAAAACCGGTACTCAACGAGTTAATGGGAATTTTAATTAATTTTTGAACATGGAATCTGATTCAAGCGACAATTTCAATTCCAATTGTAAACAAGACATAAAAGAAAAAAAAATCAGATAAGAATTTAGTTACTAATATTAGTAACAAAAAAATAAAAAAAA